CACATTTGTATTTGGGATTGTGTTTTTTTCCCAGTTCAAATTTAATTTTAATAATGAAACCACACTGCATTTGCATACTATTCGTTTAACAATGAATGCTCATGTTTGTTAGAGAATTCATAACTTATTCAATAATTGGCATGTAATTAAATGTTTATTGGCCTAATTGCTTAACCAATTAGTCAAAGGAATTTATGTTACAGTAATTAATACATATTTGCCCATACAAAGGAAAGCAAGGCGAAAATTCTAAATTCCTGTTCATTAACAGAATGGGTTGAGGAGATTCATAACTTTGGTGGCAAAATCAGAGATTTGCATTGATTTATCTGTGGTATGATTTAAAACAATCTCGAAATGTGATAAAAATGTGAATTTTCCCGGAATTAAATCTCTGCGAATATCTTTATTTAAAATCAACAAATTATGTTTATTTTATGCATTCGGATGCCAGAAGCAGTTGCCTTTTTTCATTCGCATTGATTGATGATTGATACATTCGTGTGTGTAAATTGGCATAAATATTAATCATACGCAGCATTGCTCGAGTATTTATTAATATCATTGACTTGCATACTTTGCATTATTTCACTTTTATTGGCCATTTGCATGCATATCAATTGCAAGTTATTTGGCATTAATATTTATGTTAAGTACAGTTTATAACAAAGATAACAGCGGGCAAAATCAGCAACAGCAAAAATACCAACAAAGTCTGCTATAGTCGATGTCCTCGTTATGATGAATTGCCATTTGATTTGTTTGTGCTGCTTGTGGCAGCAATTTAATTTAATTATAGTATTTGCCACTTGGCCAAATGCCAGCAATAAGCCGAGTCAGCCTTCCCATTGGTTAAATACACAAGCATATGTATGTTTGTGTGTGTGTGTGCTTATATGTGTGTGTTTGCGAGGTCAAAATGCAGCAGCATTAGCATCACTGAAGCAGTCCTGGCCACCTGGCCTGCAATTACGACGGATTATGAGCGGCGGCAAACATTTAAAATGAAATGTCCAATGCAAATTGTCAGGAGAGCACAGTTTTGGTCCTAAACTGCTGCATCAACCGCACAAACAGAACCCCCTCCCACCCACTTGGCCCCCTCTGGCATTACGCCCTATTTTCCACCGCCCCATACCCAGATCCGCACCCTCGCCCATCCGTTGCTCGCCTCGAGCACTAATATGCAAATGCAATTTGCCGCGTTTGGCGCGTGACGTTCGTTGGGTAATCGCAATACAATTACAATGTTGTCAGTTTGCCTGTATTTGAGAGCATGTGTGCTTGTGTATGTTGTTGGTCTGTGTGTGTGTGTGTGTCTGTGTGTGTGTCTGCGTGTGTGTGTCTGCGTGTGTGTGTGTGTGCGTGCATGCAACTGTGCCATGATGCGTCGCTTCAGTTCAGCGCTAAAGGGCGAGCCATTGGAGGGTAGTTGAGGCAGTCACATGTACGCGTAATTAATTGATTTTTATCTAGCCTAAGGCTTATTTTACAGTTTGTTGATGACAGACGATGCAGACACGTGGGCACAGTGCAGGACAGTGGGTGTTGCAAGTATCGTACGCTAGGGCAATGCAGCATACATACGCATCATCATTTTGTGGCGGCTCTTGGCTGTGGCTGTCTGCGGCATGTGTGTCTATTTTAAGAGATTTTTATGACTGCCACCACTTTGTTTTGGACTCTTTTAGTTTATTGATGGTTTTTTGTTTTCTTTGCCTGCTTTTAGTTTTACTGCTTGGCGTTTTTGTCTTTCAGCGCCTGTTGTTTATGTTCGGTCAGTTCGCTGGTTTAATGAGGCGTATACGTTACGTTACATTGTTGCAAATACTCTTTACGTTATTTATAGCAAATATTAAAATGCGTTTTCCCCCCTGAACGATGAACGATTATCCTGCAATCATCTTCACGTCTAGACACAAGATTTGCGAGTGCAATTAACACAAGTGCAATGAAAGCAAATGTAAAATGTCTAATGCTGTGTCGATTATAAACCAACATAATGGTGCTCATAAAAAAATATACTAATTAGTGTGCACACACAAAATCATGTTCACAAAGCGAACATTGCGGTATAATTATATAAAACAAGTAAGGATGCTATACTCGAGTGAACTCGACTTGAGGATACCCTAAGCCCTAAACTGTTAAATATATTATTCCAGCTGTATTGCCAAATTTGCCTTTATAAGTGCACAATGCACACTTGCACACTTAAATGTAAGCATGCAGTGAAGTGCTCTTATTTCTTATCACCGGCATGGCTATTGATTGGTAATTATTTGTGTATACAGAAATTGCTTGCACCTGCTGATATCAATTATCTTGATTAAAATTGGTCAGTTGATCCATAATATGTAACAATTGGACGGGCCTGCCTTTATAATTCCAGCTTTTACTGCTATCGGTAATCGATTCTTATCGATATTCGCGGAACTGAGGCAGTTATCGATAAAGTGAAGGAAACTTGATGTGCGCGCGTTAAACGAGAACTTGTATTTAAGCTCTTTGTCTTTGCGATCAGCATATTCATGCAGGTGGACAGACAGACGGACGAACGGGCGGAAGGGCAGATGGACATAGCTGGATCGACTTGGCTTAGACCGATGTGTAGTCGCATAACAGCGAATTTTGCAATTGTATACAGTAAGTATAAAGTACATGCACACAAACATGTCATGTACATTAAACATATAAAATTTCAATTGTTGTAGCATTTGGGTAGATACAGCCTTTTGAAATACGCTTGAAAAGCATTGTACAACGATTCGTATTTTGTATCTTTCACTCAAAATGCAACATGTTTCTACCTCACTGACACTCGGTAGGTACATGCCCCAGAGGCATATGTGGATGTAGACAGGCTGGCAGGAACAATAACAGTTGATGCAGTTAATTTTCAGACATTATTGCTGTGATTAACACATAGATGTTTATGTGAACAGTAATGTTTTATATACAAACACGCAGACCGAGATAGAAGGAGAGATAGATAGATAGAAGAGAGAGAGAGAGAGAGAGAGAGAGAGAGATAGAGAGAGTGGAAGGGAGATGCAGACAGCCAAAATTGTGCTGTGAAATCAGTGCGGTGTACTTAAGCATCACTCGACTGCTGGCAGGATATACACACACCAACACAAGTACACACCAACACACATACACGCGGCTAGCTTTGCGGTCAGAATGATAAATGTCTGCCGAGCTTATTATATTAATAAAACATATAAAGCACTTGAACATGTCGACATGCATAACATGTTGGTTCACACAGATAAGCAAGGAAAACACACCAACACACACACGCACACAAACACAGCAGCACAACAAGAACACACGCTACACACAACACAACTCCATTGCAGATACACACCTCGAGTTAGCTAGACACATGAGTAGCACATTCCGAGTGCTTGCTCTTCGTCTATAAACTTGTAATTAATTGACTTGATGGAAAATGTAATTTAATTAAGCAGACAGGATCATAGAGTAGCCTGCTGCCTGACTAGCTAGTCTGACTAGTCATTGTTATTGCCTAGCATATTTTCACGCATAAACACACTGACGCTCTGCAGAGCGTTCTTTGAGAGCCAATTAGTCTTATGGCATTAGAGTGCACACGGCGTATGTGTAATCTGCGCTATTAATGCAATTTCGATTCGACTTTAAACCGTATGCATTGTGCATTTGACTTTTGCACATAATTATTAGAAAACGATGGCAAAACATAAGTAGATATACACTTGAAACAGCTTTGTCCAGTGACCATGGATAAATGGCTTTCGAGTGGATACGCCCATACTTGCAACCATATGTTGTAATTATTTAAGCTCTTGGCAAAGGATATGTACTTTAACTGCAGCTGTGCTGGCTGCAACATGTCCTTGTTACAAACCTAATTCATTCTAATTAGTCAATAAATCTCTATTTATTTCAAAATAGTGTATGTGTGTGTAAGGTTGTGTGTGAGCACATTTAACATTGCACAAACGCAAAATTTTGCTATCCATTTCCGTTCTGCCTTGTCGCTTGTGGCAGCTGTTGGCAACTGCTGTTGCAGTCGCAACAACAACTAGAATTATTAATACCATAATATTTACTCAGGCATTAAACAAAGTCACACCTTATCTTGTTTATGGTTAGCCTTAATTAACTAACAATAAACACCAGAGTGAATTATATTAAGCAGCCGTCTGAAATTTTAGTTAAATTGAATTTAACTTTAGCTTAGTAGATGATTTGTTGCAATTGTGTATTGTATTCATTCTTATTACTTGATTTAAAATGGAGATCTTGTCTTTTAAATAACAGTGGGAGCTGATGATAGATATTTTATAAATGTCTGATAAGAAATTGAAATTGAAGAAATTGAATTGACTATCAATTGTCTCTGATGTGTTAGCTGACCATACAAAGGATTAATAAATAAATAATATATAATATAATGAACAGCCTAACTATAAATTGCGGGAATTAAAGCAACATTGTACACAATTTTTAATATCCTGAATTTAAGTTGAAAAGTATAATTTTATTCTTAATCAGCATCGACAATCGCATCGATTTAGCACTTTCCATTTGTAAGAGCACTATCCAATTCTTTGCATTCTGTAATATCTAGGAAGAGGACGACTTATGGAGAATGGAGCATTCTCACTTGTTTTGAATTTAAATTCCTGTGAACCAGATAACTTCTTCTCAATTGATAAATTTGTGATTATTTTTGCAAATATTTAATAAATTAAATTTACGTGCATTCCATTAAATATTTAATGCAAACTGTTGTGTTTAAATGCCAGACAAACAGTATTGTTGAGGTAATTCAATTACAATCAAACTATTTAGTTTTGACGCGTAATAATGAATCTAATAAAAATGAGTATATTAAAACGTAAAAATAATCCGCAAAATATGTCAGTAATTAAATGTGAAATTTGGAGGAAACTTAATGCACTGTTGACATTTAGAATGTAGTTAATTGAAATGAAATCTGGTTAATTTACCTGAGTCTCAGTGACCATCAGCAGCTTGGCCATGTCGGTGCGTTCACTGGAGCTGAGATATTTCTTAACCTCGAACTGCTTCTCCAGCTCAAAGATCTGACGACCGGTGAATGTGGTGCGCGCTTTCTTCTTGCGACGAGCATCCGTTGAACCCGAATCGGAATCATCCTCGGTGGTCTCCAGGTTGCTGTTGTTGCTCGGCGGCAGGGCGGCATGGGTTGTGCTGCTCGGCGAATTGTTGTTGGCCATCAGCTTATCTCGCATTAAACTGTCACTGCTGCCTGTGGGACTAATTGCCGGCGGCAGATCGACAATTAGTTTTTTCTTTTTCGCTGCCGGTTTGCCCGAGTGCTCTGTGGATTAGGTGCGAGAGATATAGAAATCATTAGCCATTGTTGTTACCACTATTTGCTAAGCTTTTATTGCGAAACACAGCATATTAACCTCAATTCAGCATTTGGCCCGCTGTCATTTTATATCAACATTTGCTATCGTTGCTGTTGCTTTTGCAATTAGCCCGTCAAATGCCATATCCAACTGACTGACTGCATTGTTACCCCCGATTTGAGTTCGATTTTTTGTCGTCATATGCAAAAACAATGTGCTGCCTTGCGGACTAACTTGTTTCGGCTTATACCCCACAGTTTGAGATACAAGGGTATATATGCTTTTCGTTATAAAAATTCTTGTTGCAATTAAAACCGAATTCTGAATTCTAATTTCATAAACAAATAAATCTACCTAAGATTTTAGCAAGCACAATATCATTTTCTTAGAATTCTCTTGGAAATAGATATATAGTAAATATTACAGCAATAACATTTTAGATATAATTAAAATCAAATTTAAATTAAAAGTTAAAGTTAAAGTGTCGGATTTAGTTGTGAATTTTTGTAGAAGTCGCTTCGAAATATGTTGGTAATAAGAAGTATCCCGTAAATAATCATTGATTCTGATAAGTCTAAGTCCATACTGATTGTCAGATGAAGCTAAAGTCGATTTCGCTATCGTGCAGCATTCCTGCAACAGTTGTTGTTGTCGTTGCCTGCTGCTTGCGGTTTGCCTGTCGTGTTGAGTATTGAAACAAAACAAGTGTTAACAACGCCATGTTATTCAGTTACACCTATTGGATGGCTGGGGCCAAAACGTGTCTGGCATGAGTCGGTCGGTTGGTGTTGTTGCTGTTGTTGTTGCTATTGCCAATGCATAATTGATTTCTAATTGACAGTTAAATGTACACGTTATTCGTTCGTAGTTGTCGCTAGCTATTGCTAATATTGCTAATACGCCGCGTGGGCCTCACAGCCTCATATGCCGGATCGCATATGCATGACACTGTGATTAATTAGGCGGCCGACTGACAGCCGCCGTTGTTGTCGCCTCCGTCATTGGCAGCACAGTCCGCAGTCCGTGCCACTTAAAGTCACCCCTCGACAGAGGCACCAAAAGCGGGTCTAGTGGCGCGCAAAAGGGCGCCCCAGTGGCACGAAATCAATAAAACTAAACGGACAACAACAACAACCACAACAAGAGCAAAACCTTAAAACAATTGATGCGTAACACAAATGTTTGATTAGATGTGTTGCTACTGTTGTTGTTGCTGTTGTTGTTGTTGCTGTTGTTGTTTTGCTTTGTCGCTTTGTTCGCCAATTGGCAATTGGCATGTCGCTTCATTATCCCCGTTTGGCGACAGCATTTTAATGCCACCCTCTACCACTTTGGCTGGCTGCCGACCCACCTCCCTGCCACTTCCATTTATGGGCACTGCCAGCAAGTAATTAAGCGAAAATTAACAGACGACAGTTGCAAATCACAAAACGAGACTTGAACGACGCGTCGTTTGGCATTCATTCATTTTAAATATATGCGAGAATATGAGCGATAAACACTATTTGCATTTGTTGTTGTATTGCTGTTGCTGTTTACTTTGTGCCAAGTTGAGTACGTGATTTTTATAACAATAAAAGTCGAACACAACATTGAGCAATTAACAACAACAGCAAAACAATACAATAATACACCGCCAACGATTTTGTGCTCAAGTTTGCTCATTGCTTATTATCGCCAAATGTCGATTGCTAATTGAATTTGCTGTTTTGCTGCCCCACACACTGCCCCACAATGCCACCCCTCGTGACCCACACCGGAATTAAACAATTTTAATGCAGCGTAAATTCAGATTGGCAACAACAATTACAATAGCAAAAACAATGTCCAGTTAATTAATGTTCAGAGCATTATATATATGTATATATAGTTTGTTGTTTCAGACGAAATCCCCTTTATGGCTGTCAATTGCCTGTTTACCATATATTTCTTCAAAACGAAATAAATCAATACGAAAATCGGTGTATTTAATTATTATGAGTGCTCGAGCAGAAATGTAAGCTTGTTATTCAAATTTTGTATATTCATTTTTTGTTTTTTTGTTGCGATATTTCAAGTCTAGAATTTTGAATTCCTCATAATTGTCATTAAAATGCCCATTATTATTATTGAGAGTGAATAAACTATATAAAATATTTGAATGGGGATGCGAACGCTCTTAATGAACCGCCCGTTGGCAATCAGAAGATGCCAAAAAATATGCATTTTTTATGCGTGTGATTGCGGTGTGAGCCACTGTCGGGCATCATTTAAGTTAGCATAACACGCATACGCCGCGTTGCCCGCCGCACGCTTCGGTGAAGCGTGTTGAGAGCTTCGCGCTACACTCAATTGAGAGGCTCATCAAGCGTTGCCGCAAAAATTTGCTCCGCACCCAATATGTTAATTATAAATAGCCCGTTAGAGGTTTCAATTTACACACCGAATCGGATATACACTTGCACAACGATAACCAACTATATCAAATTATCTATGGCAATTTATCATATTTGTTTGGATATAAATATCGCTAAATAAAAATTGGCCAAATATCCTTAAAGTAGAATTTTTTGGTGGATATCGCTTACCCTTTTTGGCGTGTGTTTTGCCCAGCAGTTGGCTTTGCTTGGCCGCCGGCATCGGAGACGACGCATTGCTGTCACGTGACTTTTTGGCCACACACAGATTCAATGGCTGATCGAGCGCGGCTGTTTCCGTCACACTTGCCACAACGGATGCTGCTGCTGCTGTTGCTGCGGCGTTGGCGTTGACGTTGACGTTGACGTTGACTGCACTTTCCTCCTCACTGGCATCGCTCATGGAGGCGCTACGATCTGTGCGCTGCTCCTGCTCCTGAGGCTGTTGCGCATACTGCTGATCAATGTTGCGCAGTATACTCTTTGGTGATGTCGCCAAACTGTTGGCACTGACTGTGGCAGCAACAGCAGCTGCTGCTGTACCCTCAAACGCCAGCTTCTCGGCCATGGCCATGCCCAGAATGTCGGCTATTGAGTGGGGAGTGGGTCTATTGGGTGGTCGGGCATAGACATGAGCATGCCAGCTAATTGCCTGACTGGCTGCTGTTGTTGTCGTCGATATGCTCGTGCCAAAGGGAGTTATAGAACGTCTTTGCTGCTGCTGATGCTGTTGCTGATGGGGTGCAGTTTGACGACTGGGCGGCGCCTCCAACTGCTTTTGCAGAAATGTTGTGGGTGAACTGCTCGCGGAGATGGGACTGACGCTGTTGCTGCCGTTGCTGTTGTTGTTATCGCGTACACGCAGCATATTCACCAGCTTCTCCTTGCTGCTGGGACTGACCATTGAGGCCGCCGATGGCGGTATGGTCAATGAGCTGCTGTAGACATATGAATTGATGGCCATGTTATAGGCAGCTGCTGCAGGATCAGGTTGTAGTTGCTGCTGTTGTTGCTGTAATTGCTGATGTTGTTGTAATTGCTGTTGCTGCTGTTGTTGTTGTTGCTGTTGTTTGTCTCTGACTATGCCATAACCATGCGCCAAGGCGCCGCTGATCATTTCCGCTGCCAACAACGAGTCGCGTTCAGTTTCGGGCATCATTTAGGGCGCGGCTAATTAGCTTGTTAGTGGGCGTGGTGGCTGCAATAAACAAAGAGAGAAAAAGCAGAAAACTCTGCGTTAAATGGGCAAAACGAAATTAGCCAAACAGGCTGTTCATTTATCGTCAACTTGTTAATGGGTTTGGCCCGCTGGCGTTGACCTTCAACTTGCTTTATTTCGTTTCTTTTTTTTTTTCAGAATAGTCAACCATTTTGCTGTCGCCTGTGCGAAATGTAGTTCAACTTATTTAACCCGCAACTGTCTGTCGGTCTGTCTGTCCGCCTGTCTGCCCATTTCCTGGCGCACTGCGTTGTGATTTGCATAACAAAATGCTGGAGAGCGGCAGCAACAAACGTAGCCTCCAAAAGGATTTAACCGGGCTGGCACATAAGCTCGGCAAGGCCAGTGGTTCCGTCTGTGTACATTTAGGTGTGTGTGTGTGTGAGTGTGTGTGCGAGTGTAACTGCTGCGAGTGTTGGCTGGAATTTATGGCGTAACATTTGAGTGTGACACAATTTAACTTAATTTTAGCAAATAGCAAAAGCCACGCACTCAAACGAAATGTAAAACGAACTAACCAATTCCGAGTGGGTAAAAAGGTCTTAAATTTGACTTTTAGTGTGTGGCAAATTCCTGTTGGATGTATTTATATAAACACAGAGTATGGAAATACTAATTAAATCAGTTCACACACATACACACACACACAGCAATCTGTAGTTAATTTGTTGCCAAGAACTTTGCATGCCATTTAAATGCCATCGTTATGTGTCATATTTCACAGTTGACAATCCCAAAACCAATTTAAATTAATACAGAGTGCAAAGTCATACCCCTCTCGAACACTCAAATACACTCACAATACACACACATACACACACACAGACACACACTTGCTGTCCAAATGTCAGTTTCAAGCAGCGTGCGCTAAATAAAGTATAACGTAATGCGTGCTTAAATGTATTTTATTGCCGACAATAACAACAACTACTCCAACAATGGGGATGACACATAAAAGGACTAACCTTTGCCTACCCCCACACTAACTCACACTTCATCACACACACAAGGACTTACTCACACACACACAAACACAACAGCGAGCGAGCGAACGAGCGAGCAACTTGAGCGCGCTTCCTTCTCAACAAATTGGCAGCCGCAACATGCTGCTCAGCAACATGTTGCCAGGCTCGTGCAAAATCACTTACAGCCAAACAAAATAAACGGCAAAAAAGCAACGGCAATTCAAGTCTGTTGAGCTGCTCAAAAGGTTATGTGGGCAGTGGGGAAATCGTGCTCTGCTGTGCTGTGGTGTGGTGTGGTATGATTTTAGGGTGGACATATTCAAGCAGCGGAAGCGAGGCAGGCAAGCGGAAGAAGTTATTTCAATTGCCTGGCCCCACGACGACGATGACGATGAACACTGCCAGAGAGCAAGCAAGCAAGCGAGCGAGTGAGTGAGCGAGGGAGACAGCGAGAGCGTGAGCGTGAGCGAGAGAGAGAGATAGTGCTGTGGCGCACGACTGAGGCACGTACAGTGGCTTAATGTGTGAGCTACTGTCTTTGGCTATGTGTTTGTGTGTATGTGTGTGTGTGTGTGTGTGTGTGTGTGTGTGTGTGTGTGACAGTTACCTGGCACGCTTTTGCCTTTGCCCCCGTTTGGCCAGTGACGGGGCAGGGCGTGTGCAAAATTTAGGAGGACGAGGACGCTGACGAGGACATAAACGAGGTCCAAAGCGGCAGCTACTAATGGCATTTAAGTTTTGCTGGCCTGTCACACACACACACACACACACCACCCACCCACACACACACACACATACATGCACATACATATACAGTGCATATGTGAGAGCGTCATGTTTGTATACGAAACTCTTTTCGCCTCACAATATTATCCTTGAGACTTTTTGCTTGGCTTGTGTCCTGGCCAGCTATGCTCGACCAACATTTTCACTTTATTCTATTCTATTTCATTCCGTTTCGTTATATTGCACTGACATCAACCCACATTCCGCCGCTTAGCTAAGCTGGCTGCGGACTGCCTGCCACTCTCTGCTTGCTGGTATTTTAACAAGCATCTGTCGAATCTTCATCATGGCAACCTGGCTTCAGCTTCAACTCGCAACTCATCCCATTCTATCTGCCTGCTGTCTACGCATAATTTTCCCTGTGGCACGGCGCTCAGATCGTCATCATTGTTGCTGTCTCCTGTTGTCTCCTGTTCGACCTCGTCCTCCACTTCAGTTTGCTCTTCAGCTTTTGCTGTGTTCTGCCTTTTTAGCCATGCTAGTGTGTGTGTGTGTGTTAGCTTGACGTTAAATGTGGCAGACTAGCTACTACTACTTCTCCTTCTCCTTCTTCTTTGGCCAACTCGTTGCCGCTCTGTTTCCCTTTTTTGCCATATCGCTATGTCAGCATAATTTAATGTGCTTTTTTGTTGTAGCCATGGACTGGCATTTTAGGTTTTGTGTTTGTTTGTATTGTTGTCAATCTGTCTGCCTAAAGTGTGTAATTTGTCATTCATATTTACGATTCGTTTGCCTTTACGTAAAAGGCACATGTCCCCGATGGATGATCGGGAAAAGCCGCATTTTAAAGGGTTTTATTAGACTACAACTGCTTATTTCTCAGGTGCTAATGAAGGCACCGTAAATGCTGCGCAACTTATTTTGTACAGTAACAGCATAAATAGGAGTTGGAGTAATGGAAGGCGTAGCCACACCCCCTTTGGAGCTGCGGTTACTGTTGCTTCGTTATCTCTGGGGAAAGTGGCTGTCCAGTTCAGCTGCTATGCGCATATTTCGCTTGAAATTGCTTGAATATTTTATGGAGCTATGTGCTCGCTAATTAAATTGATGTGCCACACACAGAAGCTGCTGCAGCCGCAGCCACAGGACATTCATGCACCATCGACAGTCTTCGCAGCAACATTGTAGATGTGTGACGCTTGTGCGTATGTGTGTATATGCATATAAATATATATATATATATATGTATGTGTGTGGCTGGCAACTTTAATGAATTTACCTGTGTCATGCGCAGAATTGTATAATTTGCGTCTCGCATGCTTTGTCACATTGTTGCAAGTTCGTAGTTTTTTTTTTAATTGTTTAAATATTGTAGACAAATTCCCTTATACTATATACTTACATGCTAACAACTCAGCAACTTTTTAGATTAAATATGCTCGAATTGAAAATGTTATTTATACTTCAGTTTTTTTGTGCTCGTTCGTTTGTTTGTTCTCGCTCGCAAATTGATTTAACTTTGTGACCGACACAACTGCAAATTGAATTAGTTTAAAGTAAAAGTTTGGAAACTAAGCACTGACAACTCGATCAAAGCAGACTTGAAATAAACAAGACCCTTGTATTCGTATACTATTCTTCTATTATATATATATATAGTACTTTTTTTTAGTACTTTTTCTTTTAAAGGCAAAAATCTAACTGGGTGCGCTGTTGGCAGTAGAGTAGTTTTGTGCCATGACAACATACTTCTCACAATTTATTTAAAATGCCCTGGCAGGTAAACAAGAGTTGAGCACTGGAAAATTGCATTGGCCCAGCGATAGTATCCGCACATGAATGCATCAATAAATCATAAGCGCTCAAAATGAGTGCAGTTTGACTCTGTGTATGGGTGTGTGTGTGTGTGTGTGTGTGTGTGTGTGTTTGTGGTGTGTGTGGGGAGCGGACAACTGAACATCGCAAATGCTCAAGGTGAAGAAGCAACTGCTTATTGAGAAATTGGGTTGAAGTGCACTTCAGTCGGGCATACATATGTATATATACATATATAGATATATACGTTATATATCCTACTTGCTGCCCAGCAGCATTATCTGCAAGTCATTCTCATGAAAGTAATCAATGTGAACAAGATATGTTGATTATAATCTATATATGCTAACACAAAACACTGACTCTGACTACGTTTCAGGATCGGCACAGTGTAAATAATAAGTAGCTGACAGGAATATAACACACGCCATTTTACCCGTTCCTTGAAGCAATACTTTTCTGTCTCGATGTGTTATTTTGTTACGCCATTGTTGAGGGGCAGAGTTGAAGTTACTGCTCTTACCAGCTCACTCACACACACACACACACACATGAGACACACACAGCTGCTGTGTTTGCGTGGCAAAATCTGATGTGCACACAAACATTATGAAGCTGTTTTGAAAGAAGTATTTAAACTTTTGCCTCGAATTCCCCCAACCAAATCGATGTTTTAAGCATTAACTGCTTATGCTATGACTGCTGCAGATGTTGCGTGGGTTGCAACAAAGATAAAGACTAATCATATTACAAATAATAATAGCTAATTTATAAAACAACTTATATGAATAGTATTTATATTGTGATGCAGTGCTTTACAAAATATACTTTATTATTATTATTATATTTGATTAGGATTTATATCTTTAAAATGTATATTTAAGCATTTAATAATAATTATTGATTGCTGATTAAAACACGAGTTAACCAAGTATATCGTATCTTGCAACCTATTAGACAGAATCTAGATGTTAACCACACGTATTGCATAGACAAAGAGTCATAAAGGATATAGAGAACTTTGTAGCTAATACACTTACTCTTAAGTATATTATTGTAGAATATATTTAATAGAATATAAAATAGGTATGCATCTTATGTACTTATGCACATTGCCAATAAGCCGGATACGAAAACATTTTGAGTGGCCCTCGTTGAAATTCGCAAGTATTTACTTATTTTTATTGACAGCATTATATTTTATTTATTATATTGAATTCATGTCATTGTGCTGCCACGAACAGGCACCCAAACTCGGTAAGGAGCAAGTGCCAGCAGCACGTTCTCTCTCTCGCCATCTCACTCACTCTCTCTCTCTCTATGTGTGTGTGTGTGTGGATGTGGATATGGATGTGGAAGTGTGTGTTATTATTGTCAAGTCAGCACATAAAGCTGCCAGTGAAGGAGGGTGGATTGGGATTGGGTTTTACGGATTGGGATAAACGTCAGACACGTTAGCAGCTACATATTCGTAGCGGGCAAATCTTTAAACGGAAATCGTTATATAAATCAAAGACAGATTATAAATGCTGCGCAATTTTCAAGTTATTTTCGGTTCGATTTACGCACAGTCGCAATCCCAGTATTGTTTGTTTGCTGTCCTTCAATCTGAGGGTTAAACTCAAATTGAAAAGGTTGACGCTGCTGATAAAAATAACAGCAACAAAAAAAAAACTGACAGCGGATAGCTCGATTTGGCCAACTGCTCGATGAAGTTGCTGCTCATTAGCAGAAATATGCAAAATGAGCGACAATGTCAGTTAATTATGTATATATAAGCATTGTTGATATTACTGTGACTGTCAAAAACGTAGCGGAAGTACCGTTCGCATTATTTCCGCTGGAAATGCTTTCTGTCATAATTTTTCATAGATTTCCTAACGCGCTTGTTTTTCTTTTTTCATTTTCGTTTTCTTTTTTTGATTTACTTGGCCATAAAGTGCTTTGAATAACAAGTCCAAACTTTGGAGTAACTTTTACTTAAAGCCCTAAAATTGCAAAAGCGACTGCTACGAAGCGGCGATCACCCCTCTTCTACGGGATTCCAGGGACTGCCGCCTTGTTACGGCTTATTTCACTTGAACTTTGCGGGCGGCCACTTTGGGTCAGTTGGACTGGGCCAAAGTTGGCGTGCTTAAGCTTTATTTTTTAATTTGCCTGCTCTGGCAAAACTTAAACGATTTCATTTTTCTTTCAGTTCTCTTTGTCTGGCCATTAGTTTGGCTCGCCTTTGTCCGCACACACACACACACAAACACACATAGAAACACACACATACAATTGCCCGCAATTAACTAACTGGCTATGATTGATGATATTTTAAATGAGTGCGACGGCAATGAAAGTGCCCAACAGCCAACACAAGCAACAACAGCATGGAACCCAAGGGGTCCCAAAAATTCCTATGTCATCAGCATAATTTGATGTGATTTGATTCACTGGCACTGGGCACGTCGGCCCTTAGTAACACACATTCCATTCCAACCAACCATTTGTGCCTGATTTGGTGTACGGATATTGATATTGAAGACAACATAACAAGATTAAATCCATTTCTGACATAGTTAAGATAACCTTGTTGATATAAATAGTAAAGAGGTCAAATCACAGCGCAGATAATAGGTTAGACAATTTGTTATTTCGAAGAAGTCACATTTTCAAATGTTATTTATGTACACATAAGCTGATCAGGTTTTTATTTATATTCTGCATCAGCATATTCTCAAGTGTATAAATGCGATACATTTTCAAGTGTTTTGAAGTTTATGTGGGTCTTAAAAATGTATATCCTTTTTGGCTCGTCTGAGTTGGAATTATGCCAAATGGTTCATGACCCTATCGTTCCAAGTTAATTCGTATTTAATTGTGGTCAACTTGCAGAGTTTGCAGCAAAGCAGTTGCAGTTTGACATGATCTTAATTGAGAAATGAATGCACGATGAAATGAATGCATTATGCACAAATGCCATCAGTTATGTATGACTGCTGCATTGGAGCCATCAATCAAGCGTTCGGCAGCATAATAAATTATTCAAAAGGCTCATAAAATATTCACGCTTATAAAGTGCACATATTTAAAAGTATGCTTATGTGAAAATTGAATTTTTTGTATACCCTGCACACAAGAAATAGATAATGCTACAAATGTGCAGACAAATTCGATAGAAATAAGTTTAAGGACACACTCAGAATTTTGTTCTCATTTATAAATTAGTAAATAAGATGAAATAGAATTAAACATACGAATTAGTTTCAACTGAATACAGAGTATGTGGAAAGAGTTCATTTTGGTAAAAGGTTTTTAATATATATATATATATAGATATATTTTTTAAAATATTGATTGCAAAACAAATGGTTTTGTGACATTTAATTGCAGTTCTGATATTCACTGGGGGGGCTGATACGAGTATGATGTCAGTTTTGGTATAGTTTGCATTCAGAGAAAACCAAAAGAGAAGATGATTCAGGTTTAAAATTTAATAAAAAATCAGCATCAATTTGGTCTGCTTTATTGTGTCAATTTAGACAAATTTAAAGAATTGATATCTTTTTGCTTACATTGGGAAAGATATTACAAATTATAATGAATGCTTAACTTTCTATTTATACTGCCCTAATTGGCATGAGAATTGATAAAATGTTGCCAATGTTGATAATGATAATCTTTGACGTCAAGATTTTCATGTATATTGAGTTCAATGCGCATTGGTATCAATCAATAATTTGAAGTAAATGATAAGATGATTGTAGGTGGCATCTGATATTAGTAGTGGCAGCTGTAAACAACACCAGGCAGCGAGTGCGCAATCGGAATTTCATCATTTCGGGCGGTTTGGGGGTGCGCAGTATCAGAAAATGTAATTATCAAATAGTAGACCGCAATAAGACATCATCACATTTGCAATTACATACAATCGAAATACGATAACAGTTGGCATATTAACGTTGAGGGGATACGCTACTTCTGACTGTCTGACTGTCTGACCGTCTCTATCTCTCTCTCTCTCTCTCTCTATCTCTCTGGCTCTTTTCGGTCTTTCTCTGTCTCACGCTCACTGTCTGTTTCGGCATCTGTGCTGAAATATGAGTCAATTATACTTTCGTACGCATAAATTAATGATTAATTGCAAAATAAATTGACTTGCGTCACTTAATTACGTGGCCCGTGTTCGGGAAGAGTAAAGCGAGCGCCTGTCAATCTCTCACGCCCCTTTATAAAGTGTGGCCAAACTGCCTGCCTGCCTGTCAACGTCCACACAAACACACACAAACACACACCTACAGATAGATAGCGAGAGAGTGAGCGAGAGAGAGGAAAGGCATTTGCTGCTGTTGACATTCACAGTCAAACATGCTTAATTAATGCCAACGTTGCTGCCATCGCTCAACCTCAGTCTCTGCCTCTGCCTCTGCCTCAGCCTGAGCCTCAGCTTCAGTTTCAGCTTCTGCGTTAGCCTCATAAGCTTATGCACTCCAAACAACTGTACGGAGGGAGTCTGACAACGTTAACGGGCACATTAAAAAAAAAAAAAAAAAAAAAAAAACTGCCGTCGGCAGCCAAAAGTAAACACTTGCAGGAATCATAATAATGATACATAGTCAGTGAGTGGAAATCGCCAGCTCCTGGCTCCTTGTGCCCCAGCTTCCGTTAGCCAGTTATGCTGTCACTTGCTGTGTCGATGTCGATGTCGAAGTCAGCGTCTGAGTCTGAGTCAGAGTCAGAGTCGTCGATTGTCGTCTTCGTCATTGTCTGGCAAGCACTCATAATTAAACATAATAAAGCAATGCCACGCCGCACAGTGGTACAATATGATGAAAAATTTGATTAAATAAATAATGTGGAATTCAATCTTATGTTTTCCTTTTTCCAATGCTGAATAAATAGAGAAACGGAATGGTTTTCAAATTTTTAACCAGATCTTACACAGAAAAAATGTATATAAATGCGGCTAAAAATGCATGTCTAATTTAAATAATGTTATGCAGATGCAACATTTATTTTCCCAATATTTGACTTATTATGTTATTATTTTTATTAATATAAAATTTGTTTCTCATTGCCATAAACTATAAGTTTCATTAAAATTAAATGTTAGATAAGTGAAATTAAAGTTTAATTTATATCGATTTAGCTTAATTTAAATTAGTTTTCTATTAATTCTGTAAATTTCGTATTTTTATCATTTATCTATTTCTATTTCCTTTTAGTTTTTAGTTTTAAATTGTATAAAATCTGTTATAACACAACGTTTCGCACCCACTGTCATCATTATTGAGGGATTTTGTTACGCTTCCTCTGCCAACCGGCTGGGCGTCTGTTATGTGCGAAAATCAATAAAAACGTTGCCAAAATGGCTTTTGCGCCTTCACAGCTTATCCGCTTTGCACTGGCGCACTGCTGTAAATGTGGCTCGACTGGCTTGCACGACACTTAACTTTCACATTAACTGCACAGCACAGACGTTGGCACAATTTGGAGCAGCGAAGCAATTAACGCTCAATTGATACGCACCGTGCTGGAGCATTGAACTTAACTTCGTTCGGACTCCGGTTATGCGTCGACATTAAGACGTAATTAAAACAACGCCAAACGAGCGAAATATCCCCCAAACCCTTTTCAGCATCGGAAGATAATAATGGGAATGGGTGTGGACCGAGTCAACAGATTATTTGTATTTAATTTCAAGGAGGCTGCCGCTGCAGAAGACTGACTACAAGCAGGAGACAGTTTCATGTATATACTTTCTTTCTGTGCGTTTTACATGGAACTCAATTATAATTAAGCATTTAAGTGGAACTAAACGGAGCTATGGCAAATGAAGCGCACGTCCAGCCAGCCAGCCAGCCAGCCAGCCAGCCAACCAGTCAGCCCTTCGTTGTCTTCATTCAGCGCCAATATTGCGCTTGAGCTCTAGCCCAAATTTGAACCCAAACCTGGTAACTGTGGCAACAATGAGGCAATGAATTGTACTTAGAGAGCGGGAAGGTCGTTTTTATTAGTGGTAGCCTGCACCCTAATTGCTAAGCGCACCACTTGGAAAGTTTTTGGCAAGCCTGTGGAGTGGAGAGAGTATTTAATTACCGTTCATCGTTCATCGTTCGCAGTGACTTTTTATTGGACGGCCATGTTTCCATGTGCTCGGATGTATATATTGTTATATAAGTGTTGCCAAGGCGACATCGGATTAATTGTTACGTTGACTAAATTTACTTATATGCATGTGAAAGGCTGTTGTATAATTAAATGACAGAGCGACAAAATAAAATACCAGACTCTCAAGTCTGCTTGCCAGCTTGTTTCAGAGCAAGTGAAGTTGACGGCGCAATTTAAAAAACGTAAAAACGAGAAACTGAGGATGCAACAAGGGATGTTGCCGGCTTGTTGAAGTTGTTTGCAATGGGGCAACTTGGGCAGCATGGAAGTATCTCTCAATTAGTGATGATGATGATGATGATGATGATGATGATGAGGATGAGACTACTGCTGTCTGTCCTTCCTCTCCTCGTATTCAAATCCTCAGTTGGCCGGCCAACAGGATACACAGTCAAACTTGAGGGGGTCGAAAGATCACGAGCATTTTTCGCTGCTTGTCGGAGTTAATTTCATTGAGTTTCCACCGGAAATAGGTCAGATTTTTAGCAATATATTTATGCTTATGCAGCCAAGTATAAAAATATGACAAAATGACATACAAATTAATAAAAAGAAATAAGAAAGGCAAATGAATTATTTAATGTGCAAATTAAATTACTTTTCCAAATGTAAGGAAACTAATTTCCAAATTGCCAAAAAAAAATAAAAATAAATAAATAAATTGGGAAAAAAAATGCAAAGCTTGCGGTTTGAGCAGTCGAGCTTTTATACCCTGCACAATGGGTTGGTGGTGTATATTAATTTTATAAACTTATGATTTGCTTTTGCATATGTTTGCTTGGCTTATATTAAGTGTGTAACTATTTGATTTCCACACACTTACAGGGTATTTATGCAATTTGCGTTGGCAGTTGACAGAGCTCCAACGAAATTCAATTGCGGCAAAGTCGAGCGAGTCAAGCTTGCCAACTTTGTGCATCCTGTCAGGCAATGAAGCCGAAGGCAACCCAACCCAAGCACATCATTTGCTCGTTTGGGGTCTCGGCACTTGAAATGATTTCAAAATGGCATTGAATGTAGCATTTAATTTGTGCGCCACCAAGGACGACGACAATGAAGTCATCTTCGTTGTTGTACTGTCTGCTATTCGTTTTGGCTCTGCCACTGCCGCAGCCACTGCCACTGCCTTTGCCTTTGCCTCGTATTTATAACTGTTTATTTGCTGTGCGCACTGGTGTCTGTGTGAATTTTTGTGTGCGGGCTGGTAAATGTGTGTGTGTGTGTGCATTTGTGTGTGTGAATGTTTCTTTGCCTCGCTGCTACGATGCCTGAAAAGGATTAATTAAACGCTGGGTGCCCGTAGATGTTGGCCGCACTTTCCTCTCATTCTATACGTCTCTCTCTCTTTCTGCCTCTCTCTTGCTCTGCCTCTCTTTCGGTCCCTGTCGCGCTTTATTCCCAGTCTTTGAAGTCTTGAGCACGGCATAATTAGTTTAATGAGCTTCACTAGTATCACAATAATGATAATCCAGCGCATACAGGCAGGCATCCCTCCTCACACACAATCGGTGGCTGGCTGGCATTGCTGTTTCCATAATGACAGTAATGCACATACTTTTAATTTAATTTGTATGCTGTATGAAATTAAAGTATTTCCTTTTTTTCGATGGACGATGAGAATTTTTAATTACCCTGGCCAGAATTACAAATGCAATTAATTAAGTGCACAACAAGGCAGTCGGGATAACGTCAAGGATATGTTTGTGTGCATAACTTGGTGCTTTCAATTTATTTACAGTTAGTCATTTAGATATGTTTACTTTCACACACGTACAATACACACTCTCAAAAAAGCTTCGCTCATTTGCTGGCAATTAAGCGCACATAAAACTGCCACCCAATGAGTGAAGTATATACACACGTGTGTGTGTGTGTGCCTGTGTGTGAGTGTGTGAGCTGTGCGCCTTTACGTCATTTCAAATGGCGCCGGCTGCGCGCTGAGTCGGTGGGCGTGGCTGTGGAGGGTGTGTAATGGGGCGGTAGCTGCTGTCTGTTTGCCTGTCTGTTCGTCGTTTTTGGTATGTGTTTTAATTAGAAACTTGTGCATTTTGCTTAATTAGACAAATTGTTTTAATGTGATGTGCAAACTTTTTTATATCAAACTGCGACAAATTAGTTGAACAACACAGCTGTCGTTCAAAAATTAGGTCAACATTACTCATACGCCACCGAAATTCAATCAAATGTGACTTAAATTGCCATTAAAAGTGCACTGCGCTCAAAATTATGCAACACTTTCAGGGCAAACCCGCTTGTCGGGCCAAAGTGCAAGTGAATTTTCGCATTCCCGCTTCATGGACCACCCCTCGCTGGCCTTCATTCACCTGAATCTATATTCAGTTTAATTAAACAACTGTACACCATATATGCTCTTAAATAATTATATATATATATTTGCTTTTTAGTATCAATTTATATTTTTTTGTGTTGTTATTGCCGCCAAATTAAGACTGAAAAGCAGTGGTAAAAAATTTAATGAAACAGGAAACCTTTTCTTTTATTTAACTATTAATATTTTCGTGGTGTAGCATAAAAGCGTTTTGTGTGCTGCAAAACTGTTCAAATATGCGCTACGAATATAAAAAACCAGTAAAAACTAAGTTGCAGTGCATGATAATGAAATTCTTTAATGCCGCCAATTCATAAATGAACCGGAAGAAATAAAATGTAGTTATTTATTGTTTGGCGACCTTTTATCACTTTTTCAGGACGAGCGTCTGCAGGGACGTACTCACAGCCTCCGTTTAGACAGCTGTGGATTCCACAGCCAGCAAAAAACATATTTAAATCATATTTGCCAAGAAGATTTATTCCGATTTATCTATTATTTATTAGTTTTATCGTATGCTAGATCATTGATCATTGATTGATCACTAATATTTCTGTAGTTAACCCAATTTTAGATTTAAATGTGCTTCAATATGGAACGCCTTATGCTACAAATTGTTTCCACAATTCATCAAGCGAACTGATCAAACACAATTTCTAGCCATTTGCAATAATAAACAAAAGAATTTTGTAATTTGTAAATGCTTTAATGCCAAATGCAATTCCATCAGTCGCAGCTGCACATTTGGCGAGTGTGTTTACAATAATTTGCTAACTCAGAATCCGACAGATCGGGCAATTAACGTAACAGGCCAAATATATATAGAAATTCTAATGAAAAGCAAAAGCGCTCCAAATGAGTGCAAGTCAGGGCAATCTAGTGAGATTAATCATCTTTTATGTTGATCTTGGCGCAAAGATCGCTCAACGCATTCTTGTCTAGCGCCTTGGACCTGGCGCGTTCAGCACGATCCTCCCAGGCTGTGCGGTGTAATTTGGCCAACGCTATAAGCGACTTCTCGGTAGCAGCCTGCATCTCCTTTTCGGGACTCTCCTGGTACAGCAGCAGAATATCCATGGCGCGCTTCACAAACGCTTCCCAAACATCCTGTTCATGTTGCAGCTCCTCTGACTCCAAATCGCTCTGGAATACTGGCCGCAATTTGCCCACTGCTGTGGCAGCGAGGATGCGTATGCCCGCCGAGGGATCGTCCATGCGTTGCATGACTGCATAGGCCAGCGGCTTGAGCTGCTCCACAGACATGCCCTGGAAGTAGAACATGGCCTTGATGGCATAGTGTCGTGTGGTCACATTGCGATCCTCCAGCAGGCTCGGCATATGTTTCGCCATGGTTGGCAGTATTTCACGCGCCTCATCTTTTGCGCCCTGCGCCAAAGCGCAAAGTGTGGCCATTGCCATCGATCGCATTGCCTCGCCATGGGCGCCCGCCTTCCAAATCAAATGGGGCTCAACGATCTCGCTGACAAAGTTGCTCAGCAGCAGAGTGCTCTGCTCCCGTTCCACGAGCACCGTATCTGACCAGGCGAGCGCTGCTATTGATATGATGTTAAGGATGCGCACTTGAGCCGTCTCGCAGCAGTGTTCGAAGACCGTTTTTACCTTCTCAATGAGCTGCGTCAAATACGTTGCACGTATTTGCGCTAAATGGATGAGGCCGTAGAGTAGCAGAATTGGCTCAGCATTCTCGTCCAGTGCCGCATCCAAGTTTTGCACATCAAGGAGCGCCAGGGCAAACCAGCGCTCGTGCAGCTCAGCCATTGTTGTCTCCTCAAGCTGGACAATACGCTTGATGATCATTTCACCGCACTGGACATGCTCGTTGGGCCCATTGCTTAGGGAATAAGACAATGCCATTACTTTCATCGAAGTCACATAAATGTGTTCGTAGAGCTCTTTGAGCTGCTCCATTGTGGCCGTGACTCGACTCGACTTATCCAGCACGGTGTCCAGCGTTTTCAGTATGTACAATTGGAAGCCCGGCTTTAGGGTATGCGAATAGTCGGTACTCCGTAGCAGCTTGCACAGGCGCAGCAGATGGTCATAGGTGCCGCCCGAGGAGGCAGTGAACATGTAGTAGAAACACTTGAGAAACGATTCGCGTGCATTGCGCTCGAGTCCATCGAAGCCATGATTGATCCACGTATCATAGACAAACAGTCGACCCATCAGATCCGCAACCTTTTTGGCCTCGACACAGGCAGCAGACTCGCTGTCGCAGCAGGCGTGCGCCAGATCAGGATAGATCTCAAAGAACTTGGCCGTCATCGCCGCTTCGGCGTGTAGCACAAACTGATACAGTAGCTTCAGCGAGTGCAGACGCACATTGTCCTTCCAGTCGCACGTCTCGCGCGCAATTAGGTTGACCAGGCGCAGCGAGCGCTGCACCAGGCCACGGCAGCCAATTGTTGGGCGTTGCACGCCCACCGGATAGTTTTCCACGGGCAGATCGGATATCTCTTGCTGTGACAGTTCCTGTTCGTTCTCATCGTAGTACTGCTGGCCGCACTGCACCCACAACGGTCGAATGTGGCTGAGTACCTCCGGTGAGTCGTCCTTCAAGCAGCACAGCACCAGCGGCAGAATGTGCAGGAAATACGAATAACGATCCGGCAGCTCGAGCAGCATTAGAATGCCCATTTGGCCGCATTCGCGCCGCACTAGCGCCATCGAGTCCATTAGCAATGGCGATACCTCCATTATCAGGCGTCGCATCTTATCGTCTTTGACATCCAGGTGCAGGCTCACCCGCCCAATGGCCTCCACAGCAGCAATGCGTGCCGCCGCATGTCGGTGATTAAGCATGCCATACAGAGCCGTAGCCAGTGAATCCGTGAATGGACGCAGCTCCGATGTATCTGCGACGCGTGACAATTGCACGAGCGTGGCACAGCCCTCGCGTTGCACGGCCGCATAGTCATCCTTGATGGATTTAATGAGCACCTTGACCACTTGTGGATAGCATTCACGAAAGACGCCCACATTGCCCATGAGTGCGTATTTGCGCAGCATCAAATGCAGCTGACGTATGTAGAGCAGACGCAACTCCTCGCTGGGCTCCACCGTCTCCGATTGACCCATGCGCTCGGCCAGCGTAGATACAACATTCAGCAGATGGAAGTCCATGGGCGGCAGACACTCGAGAAATTCACTAACAGCATTAACGGCGCGATCTCGCACACTCTCATACCGATCCGAATAGCATTTGAGGAGATGCAGATAGAGTTCATCGAATACGTCTGCCACATCATCGGTGTTCACATTCTCCGGTGCGTCTTTGCACTGTTCGCACAGCTTTTGCAAAGCGGCGCTGCGTCTGCGTTGTTCGCTGCTTTCCAGCTCTGCGCAAATCAACTTGGCGTCCAATTCGAAGCTCATTGTGAGAATTTTCGGAGAAATTTTGTAATTGTTCGATTTGTTTGAGTTGTTGTTGCCGGCACGATTTACACTAGCGTTGTGTTGCGAGCTCTGTAAAACATAAAATAACACGTCAGCAAGCAACGTTAATTCGTCGGTTGCTACGTTACACACAATTCGAATTATTCACATTGTTTATTTTCTTTAAGCGGCGTCGTCTTCTTGACAACAACGTGCGCGATATTTTTTTTGGTTTGTCTTGTTTTTTTTTTGTAGCCGCCAATTACGAACGATCAGCTGTTTAGCTCAGCTGAGCAAGTCATTTGATAGTGTTTGGCAACACAGTGCTGTGCAGTGTTGTCCAACGACATTTCGGGCGCAGTTTTTCAAAAAAATAAAAATAAAAAAAATAAACTCTGGTAAACATTGGTTGTTGCTGTTGGCGGTATGGTGTGCTGTGCTGTTAGTATGCTTTATTGTTTGCCCAACTAATTAACAAGTCATAATTGAAATTTCACTAGAAACTCTGCAGAGCTGCTTCGGCGCGCAATTTGTAGCGCTGTCTTTTATGAGCGGCATTGGGGTGGACTCATTAAAAGCGGTTTGCTTATCTTCGATGCAGCTATCTAATTGTGGTGTCGTTTCTTATCAGCAAGCAACTAACGAGCGAACGAGCATAGGAACGAGCGAGCGACAATATCTAAGATTGATTGCCAAAGCTGGCTCATTTTGGGGAGGCGGGGTTGGGCGTACGACTTCCTGATAAACAAATCACATAAAATGCCTATTTTTATCGAGCGAAACTTAATTGCATTTTTGGGTCACTAAATTGGGTTATAAAAATGGGCTGGGCAGTCAAACAGATTAGTTACGAGAATGCTTCAAAAGTTATTTTTATGCCATAGACTCTGTAACCGATGCTTAATAAATCTTAACACAATAGTTTCGATTAGTTGTCTGGTAACGCAATACTCAAATGAGTGGGTGACTTTTACAGATTGTTGTCCATTTTTGTTGGCCATAAACATTTTTAGGGCCTACATTTGATAACAATATACTCGAAAATTGGTTAATTTATGTACCAAAACAGTTTTTAGCACAGTAGCTTTAGCGGCATTTCGTCTCAAAGATGTTTGCCACTTAACTTAATCGTTAATAGCGTTTATAGCTCTCATTTGTATCTGTAGATCTTTTCCCACAGCGTGCTCGAAATATTTTGATGCCATTACGGCATTTTTCAATTTTGCTTTTGCCATTTCATTTGTGTGTGTCCCATTTGGGGCGAAGTGGCAGCAGCTCCATATTGACTCGTTCCAGTTCCACAGCATATTTTTGTTTTGTTTTTATTTGTCTCGGTTTTGCTTTTGAGTTTTTGTTTTTATTTGGTGGGGCAACGTCAAAAATTGTTGTTGTCATTTTTATTGAAAGCCGCGTGATGCACGTTGCCAGTGGACCGACTGTGGAGCCCGGTAATATTTATAACTCTTGTTGCTGTTATTTGTGCACACAATTCGATTTCATACCTTTTTTTTGTTGCTCACTTGTGCGCAGTGGTAGGAGCAGCATGTTGGGGCAGTGGCAGGGGCAGAGAAAGGGTCGCACGCTCCAAAGCAATTAAGCGCATGAATCAGGTTCAGGTTCGTTCCATAGGCAAAAGGCAGGGCAATACGGGTGTATATTGTGTGCTTGTGTTTATGGCTGTTTCTTTTTATTTTTCTTTATATATATATATACATATATATGACCATGCCACTTTACTAAAAAAGTCATGCAAACATACAGTCTTGCATTCGCACAAACACACACACACATACACATACATAGATACACGGATACACACCGATCCAATAAACTTAATTGATATGAAATGAAGTCATTTGGCAAAATCACTGGGAGAGTAATGGACCGCGTTTATTCAATTTGATGTCTGACTGACTGGCAGGCAGCGACAACGCTACAAATAGACATATTCGCATAGGTATTTTTACACATATATATAAATATATATATGTATCTATAGACCACGTACATATAATTCGAATTCATGGGCTTATGCATATTTTTATATCTTTTTAAAAGCAATGGTGCATGTATGTATATGTGTGTATTTGTGCATATGTGTGTGTGTGATTTTATAGCAAATGTGATTCAATTAAAATAACATTGTTGTGGCGCAGCACGGAAGCCGCATGACTGCATTTTGGCCGCGATGGAAACTTGTTTGCACTCACATTATAAAGCCAAAATTGGCTGTGTTATTATAGTACACGAGTACACACTCGCAATTAATAATTATACGCACAACACATACTCAGCTGCAGTGGCAACCAGACACACACACACACACACACACATACTTGGGGGCATAAAATAACGCTACTCAGATACAGAGATACACAGATACTTGTATTCGTGCTTGTTGGATTGCTTTTTGTCATGCTGCGCTCTAATTTGCTTTTACCGACTCTGAAATGGACTTGTTACAGCTGCCGTTTGTCGTTTGCCGTTTTGCCGTTTTGCCGTTTGCAGTTTCCATTGGCTGGCTAAATGCAAATTTTCCAATTGATTGGAATGGAAACTGGCGTGCAGTTAGCAGCAACGCTGGCATCGACGTTTGGCACTGTGGCCGCTAATTAGTTTCATTTTTCAACGGGCAACAACTGCGCCGATTGCCTGCTTAAGTGACTGACTTAATGACTGAGTGACTGACGGCTCCAATCAACTGACTGACTGACTGAATGACTGACTGACTAACTGTGGCTCTCAGTCTGAGAGTTCAAGCAATGTTTAACTACAATCATGTACTCATGTATACATGTTTGTTTGTATGTTGTTTGAGTGCAGTCTGTGCCGTCGATTTCTCGGAATTCACTTTTGATTAGAAAACCAGCTAATGGGCTGCCCTCATATGCACAAATACAACTCAAACATACACACACAAACACACACACACAGACAAGTATAGTGGTTTCCAGGTGCCCCCATTATAAGCCAGAGTTGTTTTTTGTTGGCCCCATAAACTAAGTGGAGTACTATGTCTATTCCTAGCTAATTATGTAGACACGTGCTAGTCGTCGAGCAAAATATTGTCATCTCACACGCCTATATCGTAGCATTACTCATGCACATGCTTTAATCGTTGAAATGTGAAACACTTCCACTTTTGCTTCTAACACTAATAATGACAAGTAAAAAAAAAATCATTAAAATAAAATACAAATAAATAAATAAGAAACAAAGAAATGACGAACCCGTTCCTACCCATGTACGTGAAAAATGCGTAATATCAAAATTAATAATAAACATGCATGCGCTGATTACAGCAATTGGTGCGAAATTCCCAAAGTGTTAATCGCTTAAGGCGGTCGCAATCGAATCAAACAAATTATATTTTATTGGCTTGATATTTTTAGGCAGTGATCGCTTTTCAACTAATTTTACTGTATTGTATTTCAACCTTTTTTTTTTTAACTGCAATGTTTTTTCGTGATCACATTCTTAAAACAAGCTCCGATTAAGCCAAGATCAGTGCCAAACGAGTTGCTGATTTGATTTACAGGCTTTGACTCATTTCTCTGTTGGTTTTATCTAATCTTGGTAAAGTGTTCCAATTGTAATGTCAATAAGGCGTTATACATGTGTCCTAACCTAACCTAATGTCTGATATCGTCGATTGGTTAATGTTCTTTTTGCTAAGACTACGAAATTCTATTATTTAAACGATATATCGCTGATAAGCCTGTTGTCAGTTACTTATTTAATTAGTTGGTCTTTATTGGCAAGCTGCATTTTTACCAAATCCGAGCAGTTGAGCATTCTCCAACTGAGACAGAGCCTTGTTGCACAATTGTAGACAACACATTGTTTTCAGCGATAGTCTAGCATTCCCATAATTGCTACAGTCACAAAAAATAAACTAGAAAATTTGTATTGTTTTTAAGTAATTTCTAAATATACAAAAGAAATTTTCCTAAATTTAGATAGGCTTCTTTTTTAATATTATCATTATTATAATTATCTCTTTGAATATGTGAGATCTTAAAATACTAATGTTTAAAAATAGTATAAGCAACATGGAATTAATGTTTGAGTTCTGTGTTAACAAATTATAAACACTCTGAAAATTGGACACATTTTTCTAAATTTAAAAAGAATGTAAGCTGGAATTAAAATAAGAAAAACTCTGTTAGAAAAACCAAATCTTCTGGCTTACAAATTTAATTTCCGATTCGATTCTTTTTTCTGAGTGTATGTCTATATGTGGGTGTGTGTGTGTTGTTTTTCTTTTAGGTTGCTCGTTGACTTTTTGCTGTTTGCCCTGCATTTTCTGTCAACGGCTTTGTGCTAATTTACGGGTTGTTCTATGTGGCAAACACCCTTCACCCTTTTAGCTGAGCTCGCCCCCCTCCCAGCGGCTAACAAAATTAAAAGCATCGCATGCGGTTTCCATTGTAGATTCAAGCAAATGCGTTTTGATTCGCGATTGGAGCTATTGTTTTTCTTTATATTTGATATTTGTTTATTTGCACTATTAGCGCGAAAAGTGAAGTTTGGGTAAATGGTAACGCGAGAAGCAAATGGTTTTGCAATTTTTGCGTAATCGGCGGCGGTATTTAAATGCCGCCAGAGTTTATTTGCACAGGCGCATAGTTTGCCGCGTTGCAGACTGTGACCGTTCTACCCATTCAGTCAGTCTGTCCATCACTCAATCAGCAGCCATTTGAGTAACAATTTAATTAATATTCGAGTGTAATGCGAACCAGCTATGCGATAAACATCAGCAAGTCAGACATGCACTCGTTTATCAGCAACGAATATGAGCTTGAGTATGTGCGAGTATCTGTGAATGAAATTGGAAATGCCTTTTAATTATGCATAATACTCATGGCATTCTATAAAAAAATAAAAAAAAAGAGAAACACAGCGATAACGTTGAAATAACACCACGAGGAGGAGGGGCTTCGTAACTATCTATCTGAACGTGTCTTGATGTAGATACGCGAACATTAACAGTTTGTTAACCACACACAGATAAATAGAACCTTTTGGAGAGATGCAGATGCAGACAACAAACTAGTATTTGCTATCTCGCTTGATACGAACTACAAATTCTGCTGTGCTTCATAACTACTCATAATACTCTGATACCGAAGGTGTAAGAGCATATTGATGTTAAGCAATGTCAATCATGCTGGCCCTCTTTTTTCGACTCCATTAAAGCTAGAGTCATGCAACTTTAAATATATATTCGGAAAAAGCTAAGAAATAGATCAAATCGATAATGGTAAATCGATTAAGTCACTTATGAATGAAAAGTGGCAAAACTGGGCACCTCAAATTTGGTTACAATCTTGTTGGCGACGTTCTTCAAAGATCGCTATAAAAAATCGTTAGTGGTGTAAATGATAAGATTATTCAATCAGCCACACCAGCCACCCACTCAGCTGGTATAATACGGGTACCAGAGTATTCCGAAGTCGGGTACACCCGACTGCAACGATCTCAATTGTATTTTATTGTATGTGGCCGACGTATCTGTTAATGTATCTGCGAATCTGTTAACGTCTATAATTACAAACTGTCTTCAACTTTCATTGATAAGTTGGACAAGACTACACATGAATATAATGTGCAATTCATTCCTTTGCAGCTTTTGTGTTGGTTTGCTCACATTTGAAATTGTTTCAGCAGTTTTGAAGCGTTTCTGATTAATAGCCCGCCAATTATTATCGTTGTTGTGCGTGTGTGTGTGTGTGTGTGAATGTGTCATGCTGCTGACGTAAGTAGTTTGTAATTTAAATATTGTCGGCAACAGCTAATTAACTAAAACTAACTAGCAACTACAAAGTTAATCACAAATTATACTAATAAATATTGAAACAAAATTCAACCAACAAATTTAATAGTGTCTGTGAAATTGTTTGTCATAGTTAAAGTGGATTTATTTATTTGTATTTTTATTTCAACCATTTAAATTTCCAGGTAATTTTATATTCCTGCTACAATTGCTTGATAACAAGACCTCTACTTTCCAGTCGTTTATATTAATTGGCTCTGATTATTATTTGTGGAATTCGAAAATGGTTACAAACTGGCAATTCGGTGTGAAGTGTTGCAGCGGATCTAAGCCAGGTGAACACTATGTGCATATATTTATGCACCGCAACTGATAACGTTTTAGAATTCTAGGAATTGATTAAAACCGGTGCGAAGAGCTTCAAATAATAAATAAAAAACTTGGTACGCATTACTCGTGTTATGTTGTTTGAGTTGATTTTGTTATCAGAAGGGTGACACGCCCTAGCAGCTTTGACCCGTCATTTAACACTAATTTCAAATCGGTCACAAATTGATAGGGATCACAAAAACACAAACAAGTTAGACTGTTCTTGGTGAAAGAGTTCGGCTACGAGATACCCTAAATATAGCTGTCGAATATATGCATTTTGTTAAGCTCAGGCTAAAGTTTTAATGCCAAAATGTATTTAATCAGGAAGTTATGCGAGTTCTAGTAGCCTAGTCGTTTGTTGACTTAATAAAAAAATAACCGTTTAAATAAAAAAATCTGTTTTTATCAAGTACAATATTTACTGTCGATGAATAATATATCAACTTATATTATTATATTATCAACTTATATTATATATATATATATACAATTGTGTCGATGATTGCTATCTTAAATCCTTTTCGATAAATGACAAGAACTTGTTCTGCATATGAGAGGTATTTGAGAACTGACATCCCAAATGTCTATTTCCAGACTTCTGGGATCACTGACAATGAATGAAATGTCTACTAGAAATAGATCAATAGCGCATAAGATGGAAGAGTTGTGGGTATCGGATGTATTTGTAAAAATGTTTTCGAGCATTTGAGTGATGTGTCAAGGGTTTTTTTTAAACTATTACAGATGATATTTATGTAAACCGTATTTGTACATAGAAGATTGCGGTTTGTTCTTCTCAAATGAATCTTTTTTTGGCGAATATGATTTTTTTCAGTAAACGAATGCAATAGTCGTTTACTCAACTTCAATATGCCCTCATCGCATTTTTAATGTAGGGTATACAAGAAAAATCCCCTTGCTTTATATGTAATATAAATAAAAAATAAAATGTTGATTGTCTATCTGGACGATGTCACTTACCTCAGCGTCAACCGGTAAATTGTATCCGAAAAAAGCCAATGCGAACAGAAATCCAATTAAATGTTTCGTCTCGTTGGCTGCTTGGTTATTTTTTGTGTTTATGTCTTTTGTTCTTTAGCTATTAATAGCTTTGTTTTAAAAAGGTCACGTTTTGTTGCCGCTGATATTTCACATATCCTTTTTGTCGGCCAGCTTTCTCTAGCACCCTTCTGCGTTCCGTTAATGCTGTTGGTGATAATCCTTAATTAGTCTAACGAGTCGCAAATTAATCCACTTTGCTTAATTAAATTGCTGTGCGGCCGAAAAAAAATGGCAATTCAAACGGACAAAGTATAGAAATACGAATGCCTGAACATTATAATTACAAAATTGACGAAATTAAATGCAAACGGCAAAATGTGAAATAGGAAATCGACAAAATACAACAGAGAGAGTGAGGGAGCGAGAGGTAGAGAGATAGAAACAGAGGCAGAAAACAGAGAGATATGTAATTAATTCATTAGCCCGGCCAGTTGACAATTATTGATTATGGTTTTTGCCTCTTTTTGCGCCAGCATTGTATTTTCAAAAATTAATTTGAATGCGTTTCAGTTGTTTTGGTGCATTAGTTACACAATTTGATATTGCCAGCACGTTGGCCATTAATTAATTTTTAATTATTTTTGAATGTGCTCTGTTTTCATGCCAATTGCCCATTGTCTGCCCGGGTGTAATGCTTTCGATTCAATTAAATGCATTTCATTATTTTCACACAATGAACAATCCGCCTCAAAGTTGTGTGCCGATTTGCTTTTCAATTAATTGTCAGTTGCATTCAAATAAGTATAATTCGGCACCATTTTAATTTGGCATACACTTAACATTTATATTATGTATTATTATGTGTCATTTATACATTTTAGCGTTTTGCTAATGCCAATGAAGCAAATTGCTTATTGAGTCGAATCTCAAACAAATTGGATTATGAAATTTTAAATTTTTTTTATGTTGAATTAAGCAAATTAATTAATATGATAATGGATGAAATAGCTACAAGAGATATATCAAAGCGCTGAAGATGAAAGAGTTGTGGGATTGAGAAGCACTTGTGTCAAACTTTTCTACCATTTGAATTATGTTTGTAGATTTTTTAACGAACTCTGATGACGCGTGTACAAATTGGCCTGTTCTTGCTCTTATCTAGTTTAATTTGTACGAATTATGAACGCATTCGATATTCGTAGCTCGTTCAAGCAATAATCTCTTCATATAAATATTTATTGGCTTGCACGAAATAAAAACAATGTGTTTTATTATTTTCAATAGCCGCAGTTGGCCAACTTAACAGATAGATGAAGGGTGAGGGGGATGAAGAGTTTAGCTGCTATGCAGGTCAAATTCACACAGAAATTGCTTCGTTGTTTAACTGGCTTTTTTTGGTTGTTCTGCTTGCCAAATTTAAATTAATTGCGTTTATTTAATTGTTGACTTTTGTTAACGTTGTGCACGCGCCGACAATTAAAACTTGAACTTTTGGGATAAAAAGCAATTTCTGCACTTTTACATATTATAAATAGTTATTTATTTTGAAGTTGCTATTAACATGCGCGCACAGCAATAATTATGCCAGCAACAACAACAAACATGTTGACTTCACGCACACAGCTCTATACATATACATAGAATGTTTTATGTGTAACACCTCGGCGAAAACTGAACTTAATTGGGCAATTGAAATATTGTTGTGAAAATTACAATTTCCATTTTGGCGCACATGCTCATAACTTATACATGAGCAACGGCTTCGAATGGCAATTGCTGGACGGAGACACGACTGCGGCTGCGTAACCTGTCAGCCTCAATTGACAAATTGTTTGCCGCCGGACCGTGCGAACACTTTTATTTTACTTTATTTTTTTACAATGTATATGTGTATGTGGCTGACATGAAAACAAAAAACAAATGTAGTAAGCTCAACAATAGAGGCTTCAAGTGCGACAGTGCATCTGGCAGATACACTGACGCCACACGGCAGCAATTAGCGCCATGAGCACCAAGTGTTTATTGTTGTTGCCGCACGTTGCTGTTGTTGTTGTTGTTGCTGTTGTTGTTGTTATTGTTGTTGACGATGATGATGATAATTGAGCACACAAAAATCGTTGTCGCCGTCTTATAAATTTCATTGCTGATTGCCGGCGGCCAGCGAACGTAGCACACAATATCAACAAATTAATGAAAATGCCAAGCAAAATCACATAAAAACCCAGACAGTCCGATACATATCTATATAGGCAGACATATACGACATACATATGTAGGTATGTACATATATGTAGGCCTGTATGGGCCATATGCATAAGTAAATATATCGCAAAATGAATGCTGCTTGACGTCGTTCAACGCGCTAATTCTTTTGGCCAGCAAATGCGACAATAACAAACAGCCCAAATGCTAATTAGTTTCATGTGTGACTAATGGATACAAAAGCGGCACAAACACAAACACACAAAAACACAAACACACACGCACACACACACACACACACACAAATTCACTGAGGTCTCAGCTACACATTTACACATGCGTGACTGCTGCGTCTCTCTTTGGTGTTGCTATTATTATTGTTGTTGTTGCTGCTGTTGCTGCTATTGTTGTTGTTGTTGTTGTTGTTGTTGTTGTTGCTGCTGTAACACACTTAATTTAAATAGTACACTCTGAGCTCTGAGGAGGTCGTTACGTTGGTTCGTTCTATTTTAATAGCCTATGTCTCATTATAATTACGTTTATAATGGGACTGGTGCGTAAATTGAATTTGATTTCAGATACGTCAACGTCAAAAAATGCCTGCTCCTTCTTCTTCTTCTTCTTCCTCTTCTTCTTCGTCTTCTTTTCCTACTTCTTTTTCATTTGCCTGTTCGGCGTAACGATTATCCGGATCCGGCCGAACCACTTGTGCCATATAACGTTAAACGTTAAACGTTTTGCGCGTACGCGATGTCCAAGTTATCCACGCCGACGATGACGATGACGATGACGCTAGCAATTTAAGTGTTTTAAATGGGCACCGACAGCACAATCCGATATCGAATACCGAATACCGACCACGACAACGATGGCAGCGATTCTAAACGACTTCTGAGTGAATGCTATAAAGCACGAAAACGACAACGACGACGCCAACTGCGACTGTTACTGCGACGTCGACGACGACGACGACGACGACAACAACGTTGGCAACGACAACAACAGCCAACGACCGATGACGACTGGAAACTGTTGCTGTTGCTGTTGCTGCTGCTGCTGCTGTCTCTGTGGCTGTGAACTGCGCCGTGCAACTATTTAACGACGACTGAATGTGGCAATTATGTATCTAGATACATTTTGGCCAAAGCGCAACGCCAGCGTCGCTGCCAGCACAACGCGCTCTTCTCAGTCTGTCTGTTGGTCTGTCTGTCTGTCTGTGGGTCTTTCTGTCTGTCTGCCTGCCTGCCTGTTTGGCCGTGTATGTGTGTGGGGATTTTGTGTGGGGGTTGCTAAACGAGGCAACCATCATAAAACATATTACTATAATTACAATTATGTTGCGCTCTCTCACACACACACACACACTCAACTGTGAGCACGCTCTGTGAGTCGGATATATAGCCAGAGATACACAACAGTCGCGGCGCACGTGAACATAACGCACGGCCATAAAACACACAAGTACACAAATTTTCATATGCATTACGGCTTAATTGTATCTGTAGCAACAGCCATTGTTGTTGTTGCTGTTGCTGTTGCTGCTGTTGTTGTTGCTGTTGCTGTTGTTGCTGTTGTTGTTGCTTTTGTTGGCAGTGTGTGAACTCATAAATTTATTGCTGGGCGCTGTTGATGTTGCTGCTGTCGCTGCTATTGCCGTCAGCAACATGTTGCTGTTGCCATTTCTGTGAGTGCTTTGGATTTTATTGTATCTTATTGCTGTTGCTCGCTGGCTGCGACGTCAGCGCCGCTTGTTGGATGATTATTAAATGCTGAATGTATTTTATTGCTTTGATTGTTGTTATACTTGTTGTGGTTGTTGTTGGTGTTATTGTTGTTTTTGTTGCTGGCTGCGCATTGAGGCACCCTTAGCACAGCCGCCAGTATCTTTTTGCATTGCAAATTGCCGACTTCGCTGGCATCGTTGGCTGGCTGACTGTGAGTTTGTTTTTAATTCTCTATAATTGAGTTATATGTATGTACTTTAATAAGTTGGCGGCGGATGCTGCGTTGCTCAGCCACTGGATTGGATTGGATTGGATTGGTGCTATTGCTGTTGCTGTTGCTGCTGCTGCTGCTGCTGCGGTTGCTGTTGTTGTTGCTGCTTTAGGGCGTTCGCTCGCAGCCATTCACTTTGCTGTTGTTGTTGTTGCGTCGGCGTTTAGCGCTAATTAATGCTGAGCCAACAGCTTTCGATTGCTTTTTATTGTTAGTGCTCGGTGCCCGGTGCCCGGTGCCTGATGCCTGCTGCCTTTTGCTTGGCTGCTTTTGTCTTTCGTTTTCTTAATTGTTCACTCTGATTTATAATTTGATTAATATTTTCGATGCCATTTCTATTTCATACTGTGCTCGCATGAACATGCTTGGCGCTTTTGAATAGATTTTCATTCTTTTTTTTAATGATACGTATGTTCATATACATATTTATTTCTTTTATAATCGCTTCATTGTTGTTGTCAGTATTGGCTTTGCTGCTGCTGCTGTCGCTTGTGCAATAATTGGTGTATAATTTCATTTCCTGAGAACTCTGCGCCGGGTCGTGGGCCAACAAATGCTTTCATTGTATTTTAATGTCGTAACTCACAGAGCTTGGGCAAATTAGTCAGCTAAGCAATTTGCTATAAGTGTACACAATATTTATTACGTACTGCACACTACACATACATATATATATATATACACATATATATAAGCTTGTTTATGTATGCATGTACATTCACATTTGAGCGGGCTCAATTAGCAATAAGGGTGCAAGTGTTCTGTGTGCTCCGTTTATTAATAGGCGTTATGCTACCGATAAGACCGATTAGTCATCAAGCAACAATGTTGGAAGACCTCTGACTCTTCGAATTTGAAATACGCTTGTTTTTCCATATGCGTTCACATAATCACTTATCCCATTCACAAATAATTTGTATTTTAAAATATTTATTAATCGACCAGTTTAATTTTTTTGCTTTTAAACAATCGAAATAAAAATCCATAAATTTTGGCCAGATCGAAATGTTTATTTATGCACTGATTCTTTAAGATCTAATTTAAATTAGCTCACTGGTAATAAATACATGAGGAAAATGTGGAAAATTAGCATTATCAATAAATTCATAAATAAATTGCAATATTAATTCAAGTGGCTTATTTACTGTTTAACACATAACCCTTAGTCACAAGCATGAAAACAAAAGATTTTGCCAATGACATTATAAACATTTGCTGACGGTGAACTCAATGAACTCTTGTAAAGTGATCAGCAACAACGAAAACAACAGCAAAGCAAAGAAAATGAAAGGAAAGAAAAGAAAAGAGGAAAATACATGCGCCAAACATCATTAGCGAAATTCATAATAAACAACAATACGATAGATATAACAACAACAAAAGCAGCACTGCGAACACTGATTACTGATTTAAATAGAATTAAGCTGGGCAATAGCAAAGGGCTGCCAGCAATGAACAGAATATGAAAGAAAGCTGAAGCAACTCAAAGGCAGCCTGAATGTAAAAATAAGTTGTTTAATACACATATTTATGCATATATATATATATATATATATATATATATATATATAGATACCATTAGTTATGATGATGATGAGGATGGTGCGGAGCTGAAGAAGTTGCTGCAGATGTAGCAATTTAGTTGCACTTGAGAGCACGATAAAAGACAGGCACTGAAAACTGCTCACTGAGTGCCGCGAGTGGCAACAACAAGAAACATATTTAACTGCATGCAAAATAAATTGTGATGTGCCATTGTCGATTGATGGCAGAGTCAAAGCAGCGCACGAGTTTTACTTGGATTATTATTGGCTTACTTAATGCAATGCATACGACGACGACGACGACGACGACGACGACGACGACGATGACGATGGCGCTGGCGACGACGAGTTCAAAAATACAGCGAGGATGACTGCGATGGTCGTTAACGTAAAACGTCAATTTACAACTGCGAATGTGATTGTGAATGTGAATGCCCAACAGCGCCAAACGAGCCAGGCAACATAAGCAGTGGCGGCAACAGCAATAGCAACAGCAACAGCCACAAGAGCAACAACAACAACGGATGGGCAACGTGGCAATGGCAACATGTTGCGTGTCAAGGATGGCTTCGCAACATGCGGGGCCCAGTGCAAAGGCGCTACGAAAAGTACAAGCAAATAAACTTATTATAAATATCTCCACTTAAGCCAAGCGAGGTTGATGCCGACGCCGCTGCTGCTGTTGCTGCTGCTGGCGCTGCCGCTGCCATTGCTGCTTGTTTTGCTGTTGCTGCCAACGTCGCTGTGGGAGCCCCATTTATGCTGCGAGCCAACAATGAGATACAAATGCGCACACGCAAAGCTAAATGTGCTCTCGTTTGCTCAAACACACACAGACACACACACGAACACACACACACTTGCACATTCAGAGAGTCCCGACAGTTGGACAGATGAACGGCTGTCAAGTCGCAATGAGCAACAAAAGCATTAAATGATGACAACAACATTGCGCTTAATGGACTGCCACTGCCACTGCCGCGTTCGCGTTCGCGTCTCAATTCAAAGTGCATTTTGTTCGCGCGCTCTCTCTCTCTCTCTCTCTCCCTCTCTCTCTTTTGTTCTCTTTCTCTGTCACTCCTTCGCTCTCCTGCTCAGCTTATCGCTCTCCCTTTTCTTTTGCCATCTTTCTTTCTCTCTTGCTGTTTCTCTCGCACTCGAACACAATGCTTATATACACTGACTGTTTGCTGTTGGCCTGCGTTATAAATCCATTATGATAAAATCATTTTGTTGTTTTATTAGTTCAGCAACATGTTGCCGCTGAGCAGTCAAGTGCTTTCGCAACATGCTGCGCTGCTCATAAATATTGCAAGTGTTTTCAATTAGCTCACATTCTGTGACTTTCATATTAAATGAGAGCGCGCCTGCATGTTTCTCCTTTTGCACAACAGTTCGTTTGTCCGCAGCTTGTATGTGTGTGTGTGTGTGTGTGTGTGTGTGTGTGTGTGTGTGTATGTGTGTGAACTTTACGTGTGTGTGCATGTGCTTATGAGTAGTTTGAGTCTGGAGCTGTTTCCAATTATAAATTGCAAGGCGCAAGTGGTTTAATTAAAAAAAAAAAGAAAAAGAAAACGAAGCAGAAGCAGAAGTAGAAAACCTAGCTAAAAGGTCAAAGTTTTTGAGGTCAACTCAAAAAAAGGTCATTGCAATTTCTTCGTCGACTCTTAGCAGATGGCAATCAACGCACTTCCGAAGTGCCGCCTACCCTGTAATCCCCCACACAATAATGTGAATGGGTCTCTCTCCCTTGCCTGCTTGCCTGCACTCACACACGTGTTAACAAGTGTGTGTGTGTGTGAGTGTGTATGTGTGTGTGTGTGTGTGTTGCTGAAAGCAATTTCCGCTTGTGTCCGCAATTAAAAAGCAATATCATTTCGAGTCGAAGTAAACACAGAATTGAATTGAATTTTTATGATGTGTTTGTTAAATGGTTTCATAAATGGCAAATATTCTAGCCAGGCACACACACGCACACACTCAAACACACTCGCACTCAACACACACCACGCAGAGCACACACAGCCACATTGAAAAGTCACAGGCGCACAGCATCAGGGAGCAAGGCAGTGCTTCCGATAAGTATACGTATGCATGCTGCATGTATCCGCAAATATGTGTGTGTCTGTGCGCCTGTATCTATGTCTCTGTCTATGTCTGTGTTAGTGTCTGTATCTGTGTCGCTGCGACTGTGTGCTCGCTTAACTGTGTAACTGCAATTTTGTAGTATGCAGCACAAATACGAATGAAATAAAATCAAATTGTAGCAGGGAACGGACTGAGTTGGAATGGCACTTGATGAGAGAGACCCATCTACTCGATTGTTCGTGCTGCTGTTGTAATTCAAGGGATGAGCATTGACTTGCATTTTGCTTTCATGTATTTCATTAGCGTATTTATGGAATTTGTATTAGCTCTGTGACATT